GGACTATTCCCTTCTCTTTCTGCTAGAACTCCTTTCATAATCTCTATCTGCTGCATATGCTGCTCCTGCATGGCCTGTATCTCTTCATAATGTCTCTCTCTTTGTCGCTCCTCTTCTCGACGACGTTCTTCAGCTTGTCTCTGGGCCTCCTCTCTTCGTCGCTCCTCTTCTTGACGACGTTCTTCAGCTTGTCTCTGGGCCTCCTCTCTTCGTCGCTCCTCTTCTTGACGACGTTCTTCAGCTTGTCTCTGGGCCTCCTCTCTTCGTCGCTCCTCTTCTCGACGACGTTCTTCAGCTTGTTTCTGGGCCTCCTCTCTTCGTCGCTCCTCTTCTCGACGACGTTCTTCAGCTTGCTCCTCTCGCCGTCGCTCCTCTTCTCGACGACGTTCTTCAGCTTGCTCCTCTCGCCGTCGCTCCTCTTCTCGACGACGTTCTTCAGCTTGTCTCTGGGCCTCCTCCTGAAGCTTTGCTAAACTTGCCAAAGCTGCTGCTAATTGCTCCATCGGATCACTAACTCCTGTAATAAGACTTTCTTCCACTTCAGTACAGTCTTCCGTATCAACTGAAGTATAACTCTCTCTGAAATTATGTAATCCTCGCAACTGTCCTCTGTAGTCGTGTCTTGGTAAGTCCCGTAGAGAATACCGCCCTTGATTCTCTCGACTGTTATCCGACATAAACAGTCACACCAGACACTATAAACTTTAGTCTCTCTCTCTTGCAGAGATACAATAGTGGGTCTTTCCTCTACAACCGTTTGAGAACTATCCCACCGCTGCCACCAAAAAATGTAACAGACGCTCCAACTATCTGTTAACCAAACTTTATTCTTAATCAACCCGAAACTCAACTGAGCTCAAAAACCAACTAACAAAAACAAAAACTAAAACTAAAACTAACTCACAACTAACTAACAACACACTTATATAGATATTATAAATGTCCAGAAGGTTCTATAACATACAAGAATACTTTACATGATTGTTCTAGAATATACTTGAATAAACACATAATATATAATTACAATAGTACACAGAGAGTTCCGGATCCA